TAGAGATATATAATAATATATTAACATAATATGTTAGATCGAGTAAGATTTTGATAATTGACAAATAGGTGAATAGATGCGGGGAGCCGGTTACTGAAACATGTTCCTATCACAGAGAGTCTAACTGGGATTAGGAGAAGAGGTATCACGTGAAGAAAAAGGATAAAAGGCAGTGGATGAAGCATGTTTATGACAAAAGACTTGTTTGCATAAAGTTTACTTTCATAGTGAAAGTCTACAAGGAAAGCAAAGTCGTATAAAGAAGGAGAAGCTTGAATCTATAAATACAGTAAGGGTTTCACAAAGAAATTTACACACTTACATAGAGAGTTACAAGAAGAACATAATCAAATAAGTGAGAGATCATATTTGAGATAAATTGGATTGAAGATAAAAAAGCAATTGATATCGAGAAACAAGATTGCAGAATGCTAACTCTCATAGAAAATGTTCAACTTTGAATGATAGCAGGGACCAGTTGCTAGCCGCTATGACCAACTTAAAATTTGAATACATTGATCTTGAAAAAATAAACATTGGTCTAAAGGGGAAAACCAACTTCTACAAAGAAAAGGTTGACCAACTTGATTCTGTTAGAAAATGAGATATTTCTAGATGGTTTTTGTTTAATGGTTTTTTTAAAATATTATGTTTAGTATGTAAGGGAAAGGTAATCCTTGTATTATGGAATATGTTTTGTAAGAAAGTCAATAGTGGTTGGATATGTATGGTCCTCTACTTACTTTGGAAAAGGTTATGTAGATATATGTGTGTATGCTTTTTGAAATCTTAATATGAATGAAAAGAACTGTTGTTGAACTAAGTCCTTTCTTCTTTCTAGTTTATAATACTAACACTAGTATCAAGAGCCCTTTTTCTTGAGGGATCTGTGAAGGCAAGAAGGCTAAGGTTTTTTCTCCAGTTCTTCTAAGGTGAGAGCTGAGCAGCAGTAACATGGCATCCAACGGCTTCTTGGGTGTAGGCCCTCCTATGTTTACAGGAGAAAATTATCACATATGTGTGATAAATATGAAGGCTTATCTCAAAGCTCTTATCTCAAACAGTAGTTGAAATGGCTATATGTTTTTTGCTGGAAAAGAAACTGCCACAAAGCTTTTGGGTAGAAGTTATTCATACTTGACTGTATTTGTTAAATAGGCTGCCAATAAAAGTTGTGGATGAAAAGACTCCTATTGAGGCATGGAGTGGAATACAACCATCTGCCAAGCATCTAAAAGTTTTTGGTTCGATATGTTATTCTCATGTTCCTTCTGTCAAAAGAAGCAAACTTGAACCAAAAGGTGAATTGGGGATATTTATTGGTTATTCATCACAAGCCAAGGGTTATAGAGTTTTCAACTTGAAAACAAAAAGTATTTCAATCCGAAGAGATGTAGTTGTGGATGATCATTCTTATTGGAACTGAGATAAGGAGAAAATTGAGAAAGATAATGCAGTTTTTCAGAACTTGAGTCCGCTTCCTGAAATCCAATCATTTGGGTCTGAAACTCTGGAAGAAGACGAAGAATCAGACAGGAAATCCTCACTTGATTCACCAATTTGGAAGACAAGGTCCCTCTCCGAGATATAAGAAAGATGTAATGTTGCAATTTCGGTACCAAATAGCTATCAAGAAGCATCAAGACATGAAGTTTGGATTTAAGCTATAAAGGAGGAGATTGGTATGATAGAAAAGAATGATACTTGGAAGTTAGTTGATAAACTAAAAAACAGAAATGTGATCGGGGTGAAGTGGGTTTACATAACAAAATTTAATCCAGATAGCTCAGTTTATAAATACAAAGCAAGGCTTGTTGTGAAAGGTTATGCACAAGTTGTAGGTATGGATTATGGAGACACTTTTGTACCTATTGCACGACATGATACAATAAGGTTGTTATTTGCTTTGGCAGCTCAATCAAATTGGAAGCTGTGTCATTTGGATGTGAAATCGGCATTCTTAAATGGACTATTGCGGGGAGGAGATCTATGTTGATCAAACCAGAATGCTTTCAAGTTGCAGGAATGGAGGATAAAGTCTACCGACTTCATAAGGCATTGTATGGAATTAAAGCTAGGCTCCTCGAGCATGGTACAGTGAGATTGATGATCATCTCATTCATTGTGACTTCAAGAGAAGTGAAAATGAAGCCACTTTTATATGGTAGAAAAAGGCTAAAGGAGGAGATGTGTTTGTGGTGTCACTCTATGTTGATGATCTTCTGGTAACATGAAGCAATGAAGCTATGGTGAATCAGTTCATGCAAGAAATGGAGACCAAGTTTGAAATGTCAGATTTGGGTGAAATGAGTTACTTTCTGGGAATGGAGATTCATCAAGCTACTGATGGAATCTTCATTTCACAGAGAAAATATGCATGGGATATTCTTAAAAGGTTCAAGATGGAGAGGTGCAAGCCTGTACCGACCCCACTGATTCACAATGAAAAGATTTCAAAGTTTGAAGGTGGAGACAGGACCGATCCAACAGTTTATAGAAGTTTGATTGGTAGTTTGTTGTATTTGACAGCAACAAGACCCGATCTCATGTTCGCGGCAAGTCTACTATTGAGGTTTATGCAAGCTCCAAGTCAAGTTCTTCTTGGTGTTGCTAAACGGACGTTGATATATATCAAAGGAACTGTTGATTATGGTATTTGGTTTAAAAGGAAAGAGCAAGGGCAACAGATGGGTTATTCATATAGTGATTGGGCAAGAACCATTGATGATATGGAAAGCACTTCTGGATATGCTTTTACACTTGGTTCAGGCATGTTCTCATGGAATTCAAAGAAGCAAGAGGTGGTAGCTCAATCTTCTGCAGAAGCAGAATACATCGCCGCTGCTGGTGCAACTAATCAGGCTTTATGGTTAAGAAAGATTCTACATGATCTGGAGCAAAATGACATTGAAGCTACCGTCATTAAGGTTGAAAGCAAGTCAGCAATATCTATGGCCAAGAATCCAGTGCAACGTGGTCGTAGCAACCATATAAATGTGAAGTTTCAAGCTATCAGGCAAGCAGAGGAGGATGGCAAAGTTGAACTTGTTCATTGCAGCTTAGATCAGCAGATTGCAGACATCATGACCAAGGTTCTTTCTAAGGGGAAATTTGAAGTTCTAAGGGCTAAGTTGGGAGTGTCAAAGAAAAATCTCAAGGAGGAGTGTTAGAAAATGAGATATTTTTTGATGGTTTTTGTTTAATGGTTCTTTTTAAATATTATGTTTAGTATGTAAAGGAAAGGTAGTCCTTGTTTTATGGAATAGGTTTGTAAGAAAGTCAATAGTGGTTGGATATGTATGGTCCTCTATTTACTTTGGAAAAGCTTATGTAGATATATGTGTGTATGTTTTTTGAAATCTTAATATGAATGAAAAGAAATGTTGTTGAACTAAGTCCTTTCTTCTTTCTAGTTTCTAATACTAACAGATTCTTGTAACTTATCTCTTAAAACTGAAATCTTGAAATTAAGTGTCATTGGAAAAGGGAAGGGCAAGATTATTGATGACCTTATCAGATGTGAACAGGATCTTAAGAGACTTAAAACTGAATTGTTCTCAGAAAAAGAAAAATCTATAAGAATTAATCAGGAACTGGCTAGTACTAAATATGAGCTTGAGAGAGAAAATAAATGGACTCGGTCATTCATGATTATGACTCAACCGAGTAACAACACACATAGGGAAACACTGTAATTAATCACTCTAGGGTTGCATGTCTAAAATCCAGAGCTAACATAAATAAAAACATCAAAGCTATCATAACAGAAAAAAACAAAAATGAATCACATCGAAGGAACAAGAATTTTTAAAAAAAACTGGAAATACTTTAACAAAAATGGATGAAAAGAGATCTCTTTCATCCTTCTGATCTAAGGAAAGGACCCAAGCTAATCTGGGCTCCTAAATCTAACCCTTGAAATTTGCTAAAAAAAGTGAGAGGAAGCAAGAAATACCGGTACATGGATAGTGCTTACTCAAGCCATATAACTGGAAACAAATTAAAATTCCTCTCCCTTGAATAAGAGAAGGGTGGAATGATTGCATTTGGTGGTGGAAACAAAGGCAAAATCAAAGGCATTGGCGGGATAGGTAAATCTGATAAACATGCAATTGAAAAGGTATACCATGTTGAAGGACTGAACCACAATCTACTCAGCATATCACAACTCTATGATAAAGGACAAGGTAACCCTCTACTCTACATGTGTTGAAGTGATAAACCTGAAAATTGAGGAAGTGTACATTTTTTATATTGCAAAAGTACCAGCCGAAGATCGTGCATGACTAAGATCCTGTTTGGATTGGCCAAAAAATAGCTTTTAAGTCAAAAAATAAGAAGTATGGAGAGTCCTACTTTAGATTTTAAACCTTTTAAAGTCATTTCAAACTTATTTAAGTTATATTTAACTTTTCCAAACACTCTCAAAACCTAATAATGACTTAAAAGTAGGTTTGACCAACTTTTAAGTCAAATTCAAACGGGCTCTAAGTGTGATGCACAATGATCCTCTACTATGGCACAAGGACTGGGACATGCCATTCATGTTCAGCTAAACGAACTCATCTCCAAGGACTTGGTGATAGGACTCCCTAAAACTGAGTTCAAGGAAGACAAGGTTTGTGAAGCATGTGCCCAAGGTAACCAAGTAAATACATCTTTTAAATCCAAACAGATCATCAGCCACTACAAGAAACAGGATTTATTGTGGCAACATTTAGTGGCGATCTTATTTGTTGCAACAAAAGCTACATATTCAGCAACGACAAATGAAGATAAACCTTTAGTGGCGAGTTATGTTAAGTTGCCGCTAATAGACGTTGCTAATTCTCAATTATTAATTCCCGCTAACATGAAAATTTTTGCTCAATATTTTTCAGTGGCAACCTGTAAATTGTCGCATCTAAATGTCCTTTGTGGTGATATTGTCGCTCCTAATAGTCAATTTAATTTAAACATAAAATTTAAAAGAAAACAAAAGAAAATATCTCATAAAAGAAGTATACACACAACTCTTATACAACCACTCTTCTTCTCAAAGTTTCTCGGTTTTCTCACCCTTCGCTCAACTTCTCATAGAAATTCTTCAAATTTTCAATCTCAAATTTGTTAAATCGCTACTCATATCACCAACCCTAATCAAGTATGGGCTCAATTTCCTTTTAGATTGTATTTTTTTGTCAGATTTTACCTCTTTTTCTTTCACCCATTCATAAATATGTAGAAGTTAGAAGCGGTTTGAAGGTTTAAGGCAAAAGATTCTCGAAAATCTATAGATATCAGAAGTTGTTTGAAGGTTTTAAGAAGAAAGGTTGGAAGTTTGATAATCACTGCGAGCTTTTGATGTTTTCGATGTTTTGAAGTTGTTCAAAGGCTTGTAAGGTACCACACATGTTTTATCCTATGCTTGTTTTCCGTATTTTATCGATTCTCGATTTCCACTGTGTGCTCATATTAATGTAGAGAAAAATACTTTTTTATGTTAGATTTACTTGAATTTTTTGTATTGAAAATGTATTCTATTGAATTTGAAGTATTTAGTTATAAGAAATTTATTGAAAAAATTAATTTTTTGAACATGTACATTTGTTCTTCTAATATGGACATGATTGTCAATTGTTGTATCACCATGTACTATAGAAGTTCTGCTCATATTTTTCAAGAAGAAGAAGAATATCCTACTCTTTTTCTCTATCCATCTTGTTGATTGACACCAAATAGTACTTGTAGTATGCGAAAAATTTCTCGGAGATAGGAAATGTACCAATTAACATTAACATGACACTAGTATCCAAAGGCTAGAACATCACTATGTATGTACTTGAGAAGTCACATTAACAACTTATCTAATGCTAAAGTGTGAGAAGAAACAATGGAAGAATACAATTGGGAAATGTAGAGAACTCTACAAATTTGTTCCCCAAATGTTATTTCACATTGTTGCATTAATAATTGATTTTCCAGCCTCTTTCTTCATTTTCATTGATTTTTCACTCTCTTGAAACTACACGAACACTTGTTGCATATAGTAGATCATGAAAGGTGTTGGATAAGAGCAGGAAGAATAGGGAGAACAAGTATTTTTTTTCTTTTTTTTGACTAAGATCTTCTGATAAGATAGAAGCTGAGGAAAACGAGTACCATATCGAAGAAAAACTAATGCAATATAGAAGGGCCAGTATTGGTTACAAGAGACGGTTAGTAAAACGCAAACAATACTATAAAAAATTTCTCAGTACAAGCAACCATCTGAAAAGAAGAGGTTTGTTTTCTCCAGTATGCTGATTGCAGCTCCAAACAAAGGACTTTGGCAGATTAGAGGGAGACTAGGTTGTTTACATACGGAAAGCATCGATAATGAATGCAAGCTTCACTGCTCAGCAATTTTGTTGCACAGGAATTGAAATCGTATGGAACGTTCTTTATGCACAATCCGCCTCCATTATATCACTCTCAACATGTAAAATTGATTAGCTCCTTCCTACATCCCCGACAATTTTACTCTCTGTTTCTCTGACCACATTCTGATTTGGCTTTTCATTTGCATTGTATTTGAGTGGGCATTAACCAAAATGTTTAACCTTATTATATTACCAGTTACATCAACCTTACAAAGCTTTCCACTAAAAGCCCCCAAGAAGCCATGAGTGTCGTTGCCTTGAAGGAGCGGTGACCTCTCCTTTGGTTAGATCAAAATCAAGAATATTACCAGTTGTCATCCAGTAAATAATGCCATTCACATGGACCCCTGATTTTGGCAATACTTTCTAGCTCCAATATAATTTTGTACTCTGCTATAAAGTTGAGCAACGGTGGTTCAAATAAGAGCACAATTGTTGGATTTGATCCATGATTAGCATTTGATTTTTGTTCTTAGATTACATGAACTGACATTCATTCTCTGTACTAACTCTAACTTGTTAGTATTGTGGTTCTTAGAATAGAAACTAATTCATGACACCTATAGCTTTAACTTTATAATTTGACTCAGTGTTTTAAGTGGAATCAGTGGTTTACATTTCTATCAATGAAACAACAGTTCAGTAAAATGTCCCACCATTTTTATTTGATTGATATAATACTTTGCTTTATGACTTGATATTTTCTTTGGCAGGTAGATATAATCATTTTTAATTTCTGATTCTGATACTTCTCCTATTTTATCTAATGTTGCAGAAAATGAAAGGAACTGGCAGAGGACGAGGACAAGGTAAAAGTGGAAGAGATGGTGTAGGAAGTGGATGTGGTAATTTTTTAGAACACAAAAGTTTATGAACTACGTCTCAACCACAAATATAACCAATAAGAGTTGTTGAAATATCATTAGAGACTGGACAATAACCTAACCCAATTCAAGGACGTCTATAGGCAGAACAAATATCAAGTGCCCCTCTCCAAAGAACATCTCCCCAGATATGATCATCAAGAAATCTAGAAGAAAGTATGCAACCCTCCCTAGAGGTTGAAACTGGTATAGGTTAGTTCACGTCCCTCCCTTGTAGGAAACGATTGATTAATGCTTTGCTGGTTTATTCATCTTGACATTTTGGAATATTAGAAAGATTTTGCACCCTCTATTTATTGAAACTTTTTGCATTTGTTAGAGGAAATCTGTTGGGTTTTTCTTTGATAGCTGTTATCATCATTATAATTTGATCAACAAGAATTGCTTTTGATAGCAACAACTATGATAGCAGTGAAAACTTTGTTTGCTGCCATCACTGCCTTGTTCACTTGATCATCTACCCTATGTATGATAATTGCATTCTATGCTTCCTTTCTACCAACCTGCATAAAAAAAGCCAGATCATGACAAGTTAATGTTTGAGCAGTTGCATATGTTTCAATATAAGTAGATATACTTAATTGCAAGGTGCAGTCTGAGGGTATTAAATGAGAAATCAACGACTATATGAATTATATGAATCTTCACTGAACATGTTGGACTAAAAATAAATTTTACCTGAACGGCTCGAAGAACTACATTAGTAAGTGGGGGAAATGGAGTATTGAGATTGCCAGAGGCCCCATTTACCGCACCTTATGTCACCATTTCTAAATTTATAAATTTCGTAACCTTTTTATTACCTTTATGCCATGACCTTCCATAGCAGTGCTTGTTGGCAAAGTGATAGCAAACATAGAGGCTAGTGTGTCTTCAACAACGAAAAGTATGCGTCAATAGGTGCAAGTTGATATGAACCGAAAGTTGCAAGAAGAACGTGAACAAATGACTGCCGATTTAAAAAGGAATATGGAAGAAGATTTGCAAAAACAATTGGAAGGGAACATGAACACATGAAAGGTGAAGTAGACAAGATGTTCCAAGAACAAATGGCCGCTGTCATGACTAGAATTCAACAGGTACTTTATCTTTTTCCTTCCTAACAATTCTATTCAGTTCTTTGAAAGTTTAGAGTTGTTGGTGCATCAGTTGATATTGGTGGTGCCATAATTACGTAGTGTCATTTGTGTTATTGAGCCAGTCCATTTGAGAATTGATGTAGATTTGGATTAATTTCAATGTCTTCTCTGGAATTGAGTTGTTATGTGATGATTGCTTTGCCGCATAAAGATCAAAACTAATTTCATTAGCATTAGGATATATATTGTGGGGAGCAACTTGTTTTATTCTTTTGTCAAGCTGCTGAGTTGCATAAGCTCGAAAAATAAAATGGAAATTGGGTGTTGCAAGGATGTAGTGAAAATTATAGCAAAACATAAGGATACTTTTGGTTAAAAAACTCTTAGATCCTTCCCAATTCTCTGTTATGTTGTGAGGATCAGAGAAAATTGCTTCTTCCTAAGCATGTAATGCAATGTAAGCATTCTTAGCCTAAAATTCTCAAAAGAAAGTGATGGATTGATGGCAATAATATATCACCACCAACAAACACAAAAGACTAATTACATGTAGAAGCAAACAAAATCCCCTGAAGCTGGCAATCTCATTGTACAACTTTTGTATCAAATGCCTATAGCTACGAGTTCCCTTTGTACATTTCAATTGATTCAATCTTTTTGGAGATGAATTATGCAAATAGGACACAAATATTTTTTCCATACGTTTTATGAGAAGGTCCCTAAAGAGAATAGATGCTATATTGTCACTGATTCCAGTGCATGAGGGAGGCAACAATGACATTTAATTTCTATACCACATCCAAATCGTCCAAATTTGTTTGTCTTTGCATCTATGGGTAATTTATTATAATATAGAGCCCTTCAAGTGATGACTACTTGCTTGTTAGGGACCATTTTAGCCAAACTTTTAGGTTTTTTCAGTTGCATCCTTCTTAACTCTTATTTGGTCCCATATTGATGCTATTGAGGAAGTACCATTGTTAACGTTTTACTAAGTTTTCTTCAATAGCCCCCGGAAAAGTGTACTCTAATGTGCTCTATATCACCCCTTTTATTATGAGAATTAGAGATTGATTGTGTGTTTTTCTAATTACAGGGACAAGTTTATTAAACAAGGGGCCAATCAAGAAGAAGGTTGAAGGCGTACACTGGAAGTTTTTGCTTTTTGACCATAAATATATATACAATGGAAGTATTTTTGGTTTTGGTTATATATATATATATATAACAACTGAAGTACTACTATGCAGTTGAATTTTTGGTATTTATAATATTTGACTTAAGAATGCTTTTGTATTAATTTTGTGAAATACTTTTAGATGTTTTTAATAGCTATATATTAATTTTAGAGAATTTGATTTATAGTTGTTATAGTTACTATTGTTAATTAGTGCTAATATTGTTCTTTAGAAATGAAATGAATGTTGCAAGAAAAGTTATAGTAGTTGTGGGGACGTATGTTGCTACTAAAAATTATCTTTTGCAACAAGAAAAAAAGGTTGCCACAGATAGTTGATTGATTTTTGTGACGAAAAGGTTCGCTACTAATTGATAATGTGTAGCAGCGAGTCAGAAGTTGATGCTGATAGTTAATAATTTTTTGTAGCAGCAAAGATCGCTGCTAAATATCAATCTTTAGTGGCGACAAGAAGTCATCACAGATAAATCATAAGCTTTTGTGGCAGCAATGTTGCCACTAAAAGTCTTATTTTTGTGGCGACTAGGCCAATATGTGTATTGTATTTTGTTTTTTTGTGGCATACTTGTTTACATATTGTGACGCTAAATGTCGCCACAATTTTTCTTTATTGTGGCGACTTTCATTTGTCGTCACAAATAACCTTTAGTTATGGAAGTACTACCAACGGAGCAGTAGTCGCTGCTATAAATCATTTGTGGCGACTTTTGGGTTTTTTGTAGCGACATTCGTCGCCACAATAGATCCTGTTTCTTGTAGTGAGCTCAACTCCTTGAAACGGGTAAAAAGTAGAGGAGGCAAGAGATATGTGTTTGTACTAGTTGACTCCACAAGGTTTACTTGGATAGTTCTTGCTTCTAAAGAAGATGCATTTGAGGCATTCTACACTTAAGTGAGAAAATTGGAAAAGAAACTTGATAAACAACTAGCTACTATTAGATCTGACCATTGAATTGAATTTGAAAATAAATTTTTTGTACAATATTGTTCCTCTCATGGTGTTGATCATAATGTTTCTACTCCTCGAACCCCTCAACGAAATGGAGCGATTGAAAGGAAAAATAGAACTCTGAAAGAGATGTCTAGGACTATTATGGTAGCTTGCTACATAATCAAGCCTATTTTAGAAAAAAATCTCTATGAATTACTCAAAGGAAAAATACATAACATGTCTCACCTAATAGCCTTTCAATGCAAGTGCTATATCCAAATAATAGAAAAAACTTGTTAGAAAACTTCGATGCTAGAAGTGATGAGAAAAACTTTCTAGGATATTCTTCAGATATTTCAGCTTATAGGGTGTTAAACAAAAAATATATGTGTGTTGAAGAAAGTGTGCATGTAGTCTTTGACAAGAGCAATGTTATGGCTAACGAAAGTTTGCAGGATGATGATGAACTGCCAAGGACTTCTGAATTAATTGTGTAGGACCAGGTGAAAGAAATAGGTTTCACCCTTGTAGGAAAGGATGATACAACATCCACTCTTGTGACAATGGTAACATCTCAAATAAGGCACACTTAACTGATCTGTAACACCCGAGAAGTTGGAAAGTTGAGATGGAAAGGAGAAGTGCAGAATTGGTTGTTGGTGCACATTTGTACGAGGCTAACTATAGGTCGTATAAGGTCCTACAATCCGTAGGAGGATAGTCAAGAAAAGGGGTCCTGGAATGTTGAAATTTTCAAGTCTCTAAAAGGTTCACATGGACTAACAGGACAGTCCATAGGAGCATATACGGGCCATAGAAGGTGGTCCGTAGGAGAGGTTCAAACTTGGTGAAATTTTGGATGCCTTGGGTACTACGAGAGGGCTTTCGGCCCATGGAAATGTCGACGGACCATAGGAAGTGGCACATGGTCTGTGACCTTGATTTTTTGGTCTTAAGTAAAGCCACATATGATTGACCAGGACAGTTCATAGGGTTTTGTATGACTCGTACATGGTCTCGTAGGGTTCCTTGGAAGCTTTTAACTCAAGGTCATATTGGTCTTTTTCTACCCTTTTAATGCCTAAACTATGTCATTTCTAGCATATATCTAGGTCCTATAACTAATTTTAATCTTCAAAAACTACCCATTCTCACTCATTCGCTCAAAACCCCAAAATCTCTCAAGGTTTCTTCTCCAAATTTTATCCCAAGATTCAAGAGGATTTCTAGTGTTCTTCAATTTCCAAAGGTTGTGGAATATTCAAAATCTAGGGTTCTCAAAGGTATGTGGAATATTCATAAAGGGGTCCTTTTTCATCCATTGAGTCCCAAGATTTCTCTATTTCTTTTCTATGATTCCAACCCAAATTCTAGGGTTTTGCATAATTTCTCATGTGTTCAATTGTTTATGACTAATTTCTTTATATTTGATCTTCTTATGCATTATTTGATCATAATCACATGTTTTCCTTGATTTTAATATGAACTCATACTATATATCTACTTTATGATTATGAACTATGTTTTGAGATTATGCATGCATACATCCTGAATTGAGGAATTTTAGGAATTAAGGATGCTTTAGATAAAGTACCAATATGTTTTATGAAAAGTTCATTCCAATTCAAGTATTCTCATTTTGAAAATATGATCATGATTTTGATGCTTAAGATAAGTGCCTTTATGAATATGTTATGAAATCATGATTTTGAAAGGATTTATTCTATGATATAAAGTTTATGATTGGATTTGTATTACTAGATTCTTACCTTTCCAAATATCATGATCATGATATGATTACATACCTTTCCATTGGGAGTTTACTTAGAACCGAGTGAACTTTGGGATGGAGGCTCACCCATTAGTAAATGTGGAGTTCTTTAGTAGCAATCCCCTTGTCCCATAACTATGTGCCCCGTAGGACTTTGACTTAGAAAGATATTAGCTAGTGGATCCACTTAAGCTTAAGAACATGGTCCTTACCTTGTCAAGTAGGACACTCTCATTTCGGTGTGGGAGTAGTACGTCGGACTCCATATTATAGCTCACATGGTTTATGTGGGTTAATGGTCAACATCCCACAAAAGTTTATGGTTTTCTCAAAGAGTTTATGAGTTCCTCAAAAAACTATGATTTAAGTTTATGTTATGATTTTCAATTATTGCATTGACCTTTTCCCATGATTTATGAATTTAGCTTATCAAGATTGAACATGCTTTACTTGGTCATGCATTATAATGTTTTCAAGACTTATCATTCTTCATATTTATGTTGATGCATTTTCCCCATATTCAGTACATTCCAAGTACTCACACATATATATCTTGTGTGCCTATATTGCTACATAATATAGTGTCTGGCATTCCTCCATTCGGTCGTGGCTAGTGGATTGATTCAACTTTACATAGCTTGTGGTGAATCCTCATGGTTCAAGGGCATGATTACACACTATGAGTTCCTTGTCTATTTTAGTCTTTTCAATTTTCAGACTTATTTCTTGAGCTAGGGCTTGTCTTAGTCACACCTATGATAGTAGAGGCTTGTTGTCAGACCTAGTATGATTCAGCATTTACAGTCTTGTACTTAGATTGTCTTATGTTGAGATGTTAGGTTGGAGACTTATCTTTCTACTTTGTGATTTATTTCTGCTATTTTGTACTTATAGTGTCCTGATTATGTCAAATGGCTTGTTTAGAGTCTCTCGGGATACTATTTGTCATGTCACAACTAGGAGTAGTTTGGATTGTGGCATCATCAAATGGTGGAAATTGAAACAATGCATCAATATAACAAGAGAACCAAATAGTATAATCACAAGACTTAGTCCTCAAAGGATACCAGTATCAAGGATCACATCCAATTGACAACATTCTCACATACCTGGATCCGGAATAACCACTAGATCAAGACTAAAAATTCTATGTACATTCAATGTTTATCTATCTATGTTTGAACCTAAGAAAATTAATGAAGCTTTGGAAGATGCGGATTAGATCATTGCCATGGAAGAAGAACTTAATGAGTTTGAAAGAAGAAAAGTGTAGCACCTGGTACCATGACCAAAGAACAGGATTACCATTGGAACAAAGTGGGTCTTCAAAAATTAGCTAGATTAAAACGGAACTATCACAAGGAAAAAAGAAAGGTTGATGGTCCAAGAATACAATCAGGAAGAGGGCATATACTATGATGAAACAATCACGCCAGTGGCTAGATTTGAGGCAATCAGACTCCTTATAGCATTTGCTACTTATATGAAGTTCACACTTTATCAAATGGATGTGAAGAGTGTAATTCTTCATGGACTACTCAAAGAAGAAGTGGTGAAAGCATTGACTATCCTGACCATGTTTTCAAACTTCATACAGCCCTCTATAGACTTAAACAAGCAACCAGAGCATTGTATGAAAGTTTATCAAAGTTTCTTCACATCTATGGATATGCAAGAGGAAAAATTGACAACACCTTATTCCTCAAAAACAAAGGAAAGGACTTGCTAATTGTAAGGTTTACGTAGATGACATCATATTTGGAGCCACTAGCAAAGCACTCGCAAAGGAATTTGCTTCTCTGAGCAATGAATTTAAAATGATCATGATGGGGGGAACTCAATTTCTTCGTTGGGTTTCAAATAATAAAATCCTTCAGAGACACTGATCCATCGGCAGAACATAAAGGAATTACTTAAAAGATTCAAATAGAAGATGCAAATGTGATCGACACTCCGATTTCTACAGCCACGAAGTTAGGTCCAGAGGGAACATGTACACCGGTGAAGATAAAACTGTATATGGGGGTGATTGGATCTGTCATATATCTCACAACTTGCCGACCTGATATTGTATTCAAGATGGGTCTATGATCTGGATTCCAAGCTAGTTCTAAGCAACACCACCTGAAGGCTATCAAAAGAATCCTATGGTACTTAAAATAAACCATGGACCTCGGCTTGTGGTATCCAAAAGGAAGTACCTTTGAACTTGTAGGATATATTGATGTTGACTATGCAGGTTACTTGATGGATTAAAAGAGTACTACAAGAATAGCACACTTCTTAGGTTCATGTCTGATCTCTTGGGAAACAAAGGAGCAAAATTCACTGGCCTTGTCTACTGTTGTGGCTAAATATGTAGTAGATCCCTCATGTTGTGCTCAACTACTATGGATTAAAAACCAA